GCCACTCCCCTATTCAATCAGCTCCAATGGCTCGCCATTGCCTCTAAGATAAGCTACAAATCCCTCTGTATAGATTTTAAAATCTTACAACCTGGCCCCAATCTATCCTTCCAGCTTTATTATACATTACTCCCCCTCCTGTACTCTGACCTAGCCAAATAGCCATTTCTTTGTCCTTTATCTATGCACACTATTTCTCTTCCCTTTGTACCAGCTGTCCTCCATTATGTACACCCTCTTCACCTCTACCTCACAGAGTTCTTCTTTTCCTTCAAGATTTAGATCAAGCACCATCCTCTGCATGAAGCCTTTTTATACCTTTAATTACTAGTACTCTCTCTCCCAAACTACTTCATATTTAATTGTATTTATTATCTTGATATTTATTTTGTACATACTTATAGCACATGCTCTGGAGTTATCCTCCCAAACTCCAGTGGTACTGGAAGACAGTCTCCAAAGCCTGATTCCTACATCTCAGTGTTCTAAGTGTAACTCTGAGAGACTGGCAGTAAACTATAATACTATAGTTCATGAGCCCCCACCAGTGTGCTTTACTTCATGACAATCAGTTGATATCAATTAGTCAGCCAGACTTAATTAGCCTTTTGTAAGGGATTTTTACTAAAGTGCCATAGTAAGAATAGTTAGTACAAAATATTTCCCTTGAAGTCTTTGATATACTTTCCCACCAGTACATACAGTGTCCAGGGTAAAATGAGCTGAAGCTTAAAGAGCACATGTGTAAAGCTCCTACCCAGAAGTCATTTTGTTGGAGTCCTCAAGCTGTTCCTCTTAAGTATAGGGTAGCTGTTGTGAGGGACTGTCTGATGTTGGCAGCTACCAGGTTGAGCACTGTGGCAAGGGTAGGGTAAGATCTGGGTATTTTGGAAGTCGAGGCAGGGGCTGTGGTAGGCAGAGTCGTGGTGAACTGGGATGGGCTGGATACGGAGAAGCCCTGAGGCAATGGGCAGTGCTTTGTGAGATAAGCTGGGTACAAGGAAGTAGCCAGAGCTTGAGCTCCTGAGGCAAGGGGCGGTGCCACGTGGGAGTGGGATGGCAGAGGACTGAGCTCCCTTTGCTTAGTCCCCTCCCTATATGCAACATCATCCCCAGACGCCTCTTGTGACCCTCCTGACTTCCTGGGTCCCTTTGTGCAGCACTGACCCAGACCCCTCCTCCCAGTGTCTGAGTCTGACTTCCTAGGTCACGTACTCTTGTCTATGTGCCAATCCCAGATGCCTCCTCCCCGTATCCGGTCCTAGCCTCCTATGTCACTCCCTCCCCCTTGGTGTGCTAAACTCAGACAGCCCCTTCTGGTATCTGACCCTACAATCATTGGCTAATAAGCAGGCTGGGGAGGAGGGGCTAGGTAGGTTTTTAGGAACAAGCATGGTCAGATCACACACGCGCTCTCTCCTGGCTCCTGCCCTGTTGCTCTGGCCTTGCTGCTTGGGCTTGCTATGATGGCTTGCTGTGTTGGCCTCTGAATAAAGCTCTGGTGTTGGCGCCTCCCGATGGCTTGTCTCTGTGTGTTGATCCAGCTGAGGACCGAAGACTCGGGAGTGAGTATGACTCTGGTAGTGTGCTCCTTATAGAAGGAGTGGGTACCGGCATACGGCTGGCAGAAGGTCGGCGTGCGGCCAGTATAAGCTGTTCTGCTGAATTCATTGTTGAGCCTTGAATCTCACTTTTCTTATCAAATCGAATCTATCTTCAGCTCCAAATGTAGACACTGCCACCAGCCATTGCTATCCCAGGTATGATGTTAGGATACCAATGAAAAAAAATCTAAATTGTCTGGTCCTCCAAAGTTCACCTTTTCCTCCTCTGGCTGGGGGATGGAACACTGGGGAAGACTGAGCCTGAGGCCAAATCTGAGGCTCTCTTCTCCTACCCAAGCAATTTCTTCATAGGGGCTTGGTACTCTTTCACCTTTGTTCTATAAGATATTAGAATTGTCTAATTGGAACTAGTCCACTGTTTTGTTTTGTTTTGTTTTGTCTTGCTTTGCTTTGCAAGCCTCACAGGGCATGACCAAATCACTTAACCAATCAACACAGACTTTCTGTATAACATTACTACATTTCATCCAATGGCTTCTAAAGACATCTAGGTTGATCAAGGACTTTTCATATTTTGTCTAAAGCCTATGGTTGATTGATGGATTCAACAAAGGTGTCCAGATCTTGTTCATACCTAGTAAACAACTAAGTTGTGTTTGAACCTAGTCACTTACTTCAAGCAGAGCAGGATAATTGTTGTCTAGGCTGATCCCTACCCATTACACTCTCTGTCCAATTTTACTATTTGCTATCCTCAACAAATCTACCAGAGGGAATTTGGCCGTCTATAGTCTCAAAACATGGATAGCTCCTTAGTGACTTGGAAAGGTTTTGTACTATCCTTTTTATCTCATTTGATCCTCACAATTCTGCAAGTTAGGTGCTGTTATTATCCCTAATTTACAATTAAGGAAATTGAGGCAAGCAGAGGTTAAGTGACTTGCACAGAGTTAGTAAGTTAGTAACGCTAGTAAGTGTCTGAGGCCAGATTTGAACTCAGCTATTCCTGACTCCAGGCCCAGCATTGTATCTATTGTGTTTAGTGCAGTGCCTGGCACATAGTAGGCATGATATAAATACTTATTCCCTTTCCCTTCCTTTCTCTTCCCTTTTTGAATGCCTTCTCCAGTGCCTTATACTACTGATTCTCAAAAAAAAAAAAGCTTATGTGGCCCATTTCATAATCAAATCTAGTATTTAACACCCTCCTTAAATACATGGTGACATAGTTTTAACATATCAATATCATTTAACAAAGTTCTAATAAGTCACCTCCTGTTTTGGTATCCGCAAAAATGCCTTCCTCAACCCAAAACAACAAAGGGGTGGAAGGAAGAAGTAAGGGGGAAAAAAAAACAATCATCCCTCCCTTCTCAGAAGGAAAGCTTAATTCCATACAGTTTCCTTTGATGGTGTGGAGTTCTCCCCACCACAATTAGAGATATTCAGCTGAAGAGTGGAAGCCACCTGCCTCGCCCCTCAAGTGAGGAACTAAGCTTTCCTGAATCATTCAGCCTGATGGAATCCAAATCCCATCAATGCATAAGGAAATGTGACTGGGATCTGGACAAATTTTAGAGGTGTCCCTTTCTAGACAAGGCAGGGGTCAGATGCTTAAATGGGTCCGGTCTCTTAGTAAAAGATATTTGCATACTTATATATTTACCTCTCCCTTTCAAATGAATGGATGAAAAATAATTTATTACATACTTACTGTATGTCAAGCACTGCATTAAGCTCTGGGGATAGAAATAGAAAGGCAGAAACTGTCCCTGCTCTCAAGGAGCTTCCATTCTAATGGGGGAGATAACACATACAACAGACTTCAGCAGCAAGTCTGATGGAGAAGTTCCATAGTCCTTACGTACAGCAGTGAAACAGATGGCAATGCATCCTCTTTAATATCATTTTCACTGACAAAATAGTATTGGTTTCTGATACTTAACCATTTGACAGTGCCAAGGACTTTAGTGTTAAGAACTTTCCTTTCCAGATTTTCATCATCTCTGGCTGCTAAGGAAAAAAAGGCTGAATGAAACACCTTCCTCCTGGTAGCTGGTCACCAGCTAGAGGTGTTGGAAAGTGCTGTAAGCTGGCTTTCCAAACAGTGGCAGTGTGTGGGGATTGCTAGACCCCTCTCCAAAAGGTGGTTTCCTTGACTTATAGCTTTGAGAGTTGGGCTGGAATAAAAACTTCATAAGAATAGTTCTTGTTTCATTCTTTGTATTTGTATTCCCAACACCTAACATAATGCCTGGCACATAGTAGGTGCTTAATGAGTGCTTGTTGATTGATTGAAGGTCAGTTTGGCCAGAATAAAGAGTATGAATAAAGCTAGAAAAACAGATTGAAGTCAGCATCACTAAGCTTAAAATAGAGGGGGGATTATTTGCTGACTTTGCCAGGTAAATATTCCTAAAATTCTAAAATGTTAGACTTGGAAGAGACTTTAGAATAGAATCTTAGAACTAGAAGAAAATTTGGAACATAGAACTTTAGAGCTGGAAGAATAGAGAATGTTAAAGTTGGAAGGGTCATTAGAACACAGACTAGAACACTAAATTTCATCTCCTGTCACCTACTTCTTCGGGACTTCTCTCTACAGAGTTTTTAATGGGTGGTCACCTAACCTCTGCTTGAACTCTAGGAAGACCGAGTCGCTCCCTATCTCACAAGGCAGCCCATTCCATGGGAGATGCTTCCATTGTTAGAAAATGTTCATTACACTGAGCAGAAATCTGCCTCTCCCGTTTGTTAATAGTCTTTGTCTTGGACCTCCCGTTCTCCGTTCCTCTTCTCCCCGCTCTTAGCTCTAACCTAGGAGCGCAGCGCAACCCAAGAGCCAGGAATCAGGCCTCTCTACCAGGCTGGGGCGGACCTGCTGTTGGGGCGCGTAGAGGGTAGTGTTGGGTAGGGGGGTGCTGGAAGGCTGGAGGCTAGCAGGTGCTCAGCGCCGCACATTAGCGACGGAGGGAGGAGGTAGCCTCAGCCTCCGGGTCCCACGTGAGGCAACTTTGGGCCAATGGGGCAGCAGCTGCGCGGGGAGGGCCCGGCTAGGCGGTTGGGGGGTGTAGGGGGCTGAGGATCTCATTCAAACCCAGCGGGCTGAGGAGGCGGGAGGCGGGAGCCGACGAACCTCACCCCTTTGGGTGCCGGGCCCAGCTAAAGGCCTCCGCACCCCTATAAAGCACCAATTCTCCGATCCCCCAGGACTGGGAGACAGACTGGGATCGGGATCGGGCAGGCCGGTGCTCGATCCGGCAGCTGGGGATGCTCTGGGCATCAGAGGAGACTGGCGACGTGTGAGGGCGCGGGAGACCACGGGGATCAGGCTGGTGGACAAGAGGGCCACAGCTCCGCTGCTGGGAGCGCCGCCACATCCGTCCCACGGGAGCAGGGGCTGGGTATCTCGGCACCCCGGGACTTGAAACGGCCATGCCCGTGAAGAACAGATACAACCTGGTAGATGAGGGTTGCGATTCACGGCTCCCGCTGCACAGCGAAGAAGCCTTTCAGCACGGGATCCAATTCCAGGCCAAGGTAAGGCGTTGGGGCGTGCCTTGAATGGCAAAGCTAGACAGATCATAGAACTCAATGTCATAGGCGGCAAAGACTCAGACAGAATGTCCACGGTGAGAAAGAGACCCTAGAACGTGGAAACGTTACAGTCAAAACGGACCTTTCAGATCATCTTGTCCCAACCTTTATTTTACGGATAAGAAAACTGAGGCATAGAGAGAACGGTATTTGCTTCCAAGGTCCACAGGGAGCATTCCCTGCCATTATCCTGGTTTCCTGGGTCTCTTACCACATTACTTCTTCGGTCCCTTTCCCTTTCCACCACCACTCCCACACACATTTGTTTTCTGTCCCCCTGCTCCCCAACTACCTCCATGGGTTTCATTTTCCATTCTCTTTCTTACTTTCTATTTCCTAGATTGAGTGGGAAATTGAACTCCCTTGAAGCCCTTAATATTGTTGAAATATCTCTCCTTCTTGATCTTTCTATTTCCTCTCAGCTACTACATAGCAACATGTCCTTTTTTGCACTACACCCTGACTGGTACTCTTCCTCTTCTCCAGTCCACCTGTCACCAACCAGCTCTGCCCAGCTTGTCTTTCCTGTCTTCTGTTCTGGGATATGGTGTCAATTAAGGCCAGTTGGCATGGTCACTGCCATACTGCAGATAATCCTAAATGAATGTCACGTCTTTGGGCATTCTTAGTAAGGGAGGATTTGGGATTTGGGTAAATGTATGTTTCTCAATGGGCTGAAGGAAGTTCCAGGAGACAAAACCCAACATGGATAAATGAAGTCAACCGATTATTTCAAGTGATTGTTCCAACCTTCTCCCAGCAAAACTGGCTTGAGATTTTGCTTCTTTTATTTTCTAGGGAGTTATCATGGTGCAGCTGGGTTTTGGAATCAGGAAAATTCTGGTTCAAAGTCATTGACATTTACTAGCTGTGTGACTGTGGATAGCTCACAACTTTTCTGAACATCAGAAAACCCTCTAAGAGTTATCACTAAGTTATAGAAAGGTTGAATCTCTTGATGGAGAAAATTTTGTGCTAATAAAATCACAGATCCTTGACATATTGAATTACTTCTCCCTAGTGGAGGTGCTTATGACTAACAAATGAGAAAAAGAAGGGACAAGTGCAATTAGGTAAGCTAGAATGTTAGATGTCAATGGGACTTCAGAGATTCAGCACCCTTATTTTACAGATGAGGAAATTGAGGTCCAGAAAAAGAGAAGCAGAAGGCTAGATTGTTATAGGATTTAGAGTTGGAAGGCATGTTAAAGGCCACCAACTCTAATGTGCACTACAACTCAGATCACTATGAACTGGAATAGTCATATAGAAAGAGGCGTAGAGTAAAATGGAAAAAAGCATCAGTTTTTGGAATTAGAGGACCCAGACTCTCATGCCAACTCTGTGATCATGGGCAAGTCACTAAATTTTTCTGAACCTCAATTTCTTCATCTGCAAAATGGGGATAATAATAGCTATACTGCTTTTCTCAGAGTCACTGTAACAAAAGTGCTTCATAAATCTTATTGCACTAGGAGTTTGAAGATGTATAATTTAGTCTGGATACTTCCATTAACTTGCTATGTAACCTCTCTGAGCCAGAGTTGTCTCCTCTGTAAAGTGAGAGATTTGGACTAGATGACCTCGAAGGTTCTGTTTATCTGCACGTAGTCTGTTTCTTAACATTCTATGTTCCAAAGTCCCTTCCAGCTCTAACGGATGCTAATCAGGGAAAGCTAGAGGGAGTAATTAGGAGGCTTCAAAGAAGAGCTAGAGCTTGAATGGTAGGTAGACTTTTTGGGGAGGGGTGGGCTGGATTTCCTAGCAAGAAGGAAGAGACCTTGGAGCCATAAGAATTTCCCATTGGAGGTGTCCCTTTTTTTTCAGGGTTCTCCTGGGAAGTGTTCTCAGAGGGGCTGTCTCTGACCACCGGAGGGCTCTCTCTCTTGCTTCTAAGCATTGCCATTAGCCTGACCTTTTTCTTGTTTGGACAGAACAAGATTAAGTGCTTAGATTTGAGTGCTTGACTCAAATATCAGATATTTGCCAGGTATCTGACTCATTTTAAGTAGGTCAGACTTAGCAGGTGGCGTTTTCCCAAATAATTGAGCAGCCACAAGTAAGCATGAGAGCTAAGAAGAAAACTCCAAAAGGTCATACGTATTACATTTGGTTTAGATTAAACTGGCTTGACCCCCAAATGACTTTTGGTTAATAAAAAAGATTATAATTACCACCTTAACGTATACAATTTGGGAAGGAGCCAACCTTGGGTAAGTTGAGCTTGGCTTCAAGAATTGTTCAGCTGCTAATAACTCCTTGTGTGATCTTAGACAAAGGAGTTGTAGATGATAAGAGTCCCTTCTGGCTCTCTAGGTTCTATGATGTTATTACTTCCCTGGGTCTCAGTTTTGTCATCTATAAAATGAGTAGTTGAACTAAATTGTCCCATACCTTATCCAACTCTAATATTCTGAGATCTGATGTCCATTTCACCTCAAATAAATCATGTACACTACAAGAATGTTAACTCCTTTTTTTTTTGTACATTATGACCCCTGGACCTAGCTGGAAGGAGAATTTGTTATAGAAGATAAGGGGTGATTAGGTTACAGGGAGGCTCAAAACCTGAAGCTTCAGAAGCAGAATTCAGTGATGATCTTGGGAAAATAACTGATCTCTTCTGCCACGCATTCAACGCTTTCTGCCTCCCTTTCCAACTGACTTTTCAACCTAGTCTCTTGTCACATTCCTACTTAAACTCAGCCTCTACCAAATAGGTCCACTTATCATCTGTCCTTTGATCTTAGTTCCAAAACATGCGAAAACAGGAAAGGGCCTGTGTTCCACTCTTACACCTGAGAGAAAGAACATGAGTTTCAGAGAAAAGAAAGGGACCTGGTCAAAGTCATGTTAGTGGCAGTAGAGTTTTCCCAGCCCAGTGCACCCATCTCTTTGCTTCTTTTTTTAAATTAATTTTTAAATTATTTATTTTTAATATTTTTGTTTTTAATTAATTTTTAAATTAATCTTTTTAATTAAAATTTTACTTAGTTTTATTAATACATTTTGTTTTTATGTCATAGCCATTTCTAAATATGTCCCCACTCTCACCCACAAGAACGTGTCTCTACCTTGCACAAAAGAAATGCAATTAAGCAAAAATAACTAACATTGTCCATGTTTGACAAGGTCTTCTACCTTCATAGTCTCCCCTATCTCTACTCTGAGAGGAGGGACATATTTCATCCATTGTTGGTTCTTTAGTTACTCATAGTTTGATTTTCTTTTTTGATCTTTTCACTTGCACTGTTGGTTATTGTGTTATATGTTCTTTTGCTTTCATGTATTTCACCATGTGTCAGTTCAGACAAATCTTCCCATGTTTCTCTGAATTCTTCACATTCATTTCTTACTCTATAATAATATTCCATTACATACACAGACCACAATTTGTTTAGCTATTTCCCAATTATGGTCACCTACTTCATTTTTAGTTCTTGATTACCATAAAAAGTGCTACTATGAATATTTTGTAATATATTAGTCCTTCTGATTTTAACTTCCCTGGAAGTACTTCCTACTTTTTCAAATCCCCCCTACACACACACACACACACACACACACATCATTGTGGAAGATACCCCTGGTCAAGCCCAACATTATCCAGGAATTAATTAGCAAGTATTCATTAAGTACTTACTATTTTCCAAGTATTGTGCTAGGCACTGGAGATACAAAGAAATAGTCCTTGCCCTCAAGGAGCTTACATTCTATTGGGGGAAACAACACGTACCTACATAAGTATGTACAAAATACAGTAAATATAAAGTAATGTGGGAAGGTTGAGGGATGGTCAGGAAAAGGCCTTGTGTAGAATGTAGTACTTGAGCTGAGGTTTAAAGAGACCTAGTGATTCTGAGAGGCTGAAGCAAAGAGGGTATATGCATTCTTGACATGGGGCTGGGGAACAGTCTATGCAAGGCCAAAGATAAGGAATAGAATATTGTATATGCAGAAACACAAATAGACTAGTTTGGCCAGAAGACTGGCTGTCACAGGCTAGAATGAGCTTTCCTCTCTCAATTTCTTTAGCGCTTAGTGTAAGTCCCCCACCAGAGTCTTTACCTCCTACTGTTTCATGACATCTCTAAATATTCCTATCCAAATTATGTAGCTCTTATATTCATTTATTTTCATGTGTGCTACTGTTGTCTATTCAACTAGACTATAAGCTACTTGAAAGCAAGAATATTGTGTAGTCCCTATAACTAATCCACTTATGTTATAGTCTCTAGCCCCCTCATAATCTTGGTCCCCTTCCTATTGCAGGAACTTCCTCTAAGACATCCCTGAAAGGTAAATCTCTCTGAATGGATACTCCCAGGGATGGAGAGGCAGAATGATCTAATTAAAAGAATACTGGACTGGGAAGTAGGAGAGACCTGGGTTCCAACCCCTCCTCTGCTACTTATAGGCAAGACATTTGACCTCTCTGGCCTCAGTTTCTCCATCTGTAAAATGAGGGATTTGGACCAGATATCTTCTAAGCTCCCTTCCATTTCTAAATCTATGCTTTTATGATCTCCTTTGGAGAATCAACAATAGGTCATTACACCTAGTAGGTGCTCCTCGATAGCTTTTAATTGAAGAATATAGCCCTCACAGCTTGAAGGGTCTTCAAAGGTCATCTCTTACAATCTATATTTAAACTTAAATCCTCTCAAAGGTTCCTGACAAGTGGTCAGCTATCTGGACTCCACTTGAACATCATTGGTAAACTCAATCCCTCCCAAAAGAATACATTCCACTGTTGGACATGTCTGATCATTAGGAAGTTCTTATATTGACACAAAATCTGCTTCCTTGTATCTTCTATCCATTTGCCCTAGTTTTTCCCTTTGGGTCCTAGCAGAACAAAACGAATCCCTCCTTTGTAGGACAACCCTTCATACACTTGAAGACAGCAATTATGTTCCCACCCTCACCCCTAATTCTTCTATTCTCTAGGTTAAACATCATTAATTCCTCCAACTGATCCTTGTGGGTCACAGGTTTCAATCCCCATCAAAAGGCTGGTGTCCTCCTGGCTGCTGGAATTTCCTCTCTGGCATCCCTGATGGATGTGCCAGCTTCTGCCTAGATACTCTCAGGGACAGGAGACTGCACCATGTAGATTTGGAATAAGCAGATATGGGTTCAAATCCTAACTCTGCAACTTTTGCTACCAACACAACCTTGAGCAAGTAACTCCGTTCTCTGGACTTCAGTTTCATCACTTAAAATAAAGGGGGGAGAGATGTTGAACTAGAGCATCTTTAAGGTCCCCTCCAACTCTAAAATCTTCTCTTCTACCTCACCAATAGCCTGTTCTGCTATTGGACAGCTCTCAACATGAGGAAGCTCTTAGATTGAGGGAAAATCTGCCTATCCATAAAGTCTACTCCACTGCTCTTAGTGCTGCCCACTGAATAAATCAAATAACTCTTCATATCATGGCCTTTCAAATAAAATTCAAGTTTTCTTGTTTGGATTTCAGGTCTTTCACAATCTGGTTCCAACCTTCCTTTCCAGACCTAATGTATGATGCTCCCCTCCACTCACTTTACATTCCTCTCAAACTGACCCAGTTTCTGCTCCTCATACAGCGCAGTCCATCTCCATATCTGTATGTTTGAGGAGACTGTCCTCTGTGCCTGGAGTGCATTACCCCCTTATCTTTCCTTCTGAAAATCTCTAGCTTCTCTCAACACTCAGCTCTAGAGCCACCTCTCCCATGAGGTTTATTCTGCTATCCTGTTCACCCACATGCTGGCATTACCTTGACCCTCAAAATTAGTTTGCATCTATCTTCTATCCACATATCTATGTATATGATATTTCCTCTCAAATGAGAATGTAAGCTCCTTGAGGGCAGACATAGTTTCCTTTTTTGGCTTTGTATTCTGAGCACCTAGCATGGTACCTAGCACCATTTATCATATTATTTAGTAAATGTTTGTTGAATGAATGAATTTGAAGTTAGAGATAATTTCATCTGTAAAACAAGGATGTTAGAAATAAAGGTTCTTAATCTAGGATCCATGGACTCCCCAAAGGGTCTGTGGATGGATTTTAGAGGGCCTATTATCTTGGACGAGGAAACAATTACATATTCATTTTCATCAACCTCTAACTGAAATTCAACTTTTCCTTCTAAAAACATTATTCTAAGAAGGAGTCCATGCCACAAAAAAAAGGTTAAGAAGACCTACTCTAACTCCTTATGGGACATTAGGGGTATCTGAAGAGGAGATTCCTGTTCTGGATGAGAAATCAGACTAAACAGCCTCTAAGGTTCCTTCCAACTTTGAGGTTCTAGATTGTAAAGAGACCTCCCCATCCTAGTCTCCTTCTTCTTAGCTTTTCATTGCCTTTCTATAATGTAGCACCCAGAACTGAACACAGAACTCCAGATGCTTCCTGACCAGAACAGAACAAAGCAAAATTATTACTTCCTTTGCCCTGAACTTAATACCTCTATTTATTCCAATGATGATTGCATTAGCCTTTGCCAGAAGTTGACTCATTGAAAGCCCAATATCAATCTAATTTGTCAGCTGTAATTGGCTTGAGTATCTTAAGAGAACTTGGAGATCTTTCCAATGAAAAGCCATACAAAAGAACTTCTTCCATCTCAACCACTTGCTGAGAATGCCAACACTGTTTTTCTTCTTTTGGTGGGGGAACTGGAGATAAGTTAAAACTATTAGAGTTGTAGCTTCCCCTTTCTGTCCACTCTTTTTCTCCTCCCTTTTTTAATGACCAGTTTCCTTCTTGTCTCCTTCTTTTAGTACATTGGGAGTTTGGATGTGCCCAGACCCAACAGTCGCATGGAGATTGTGGCCACCATGAGAAGGATCCGGGTGAGTGATAGAGCTAGGGAATCCCAGGAACAGCTTTCCCTGAGACTGAACCACATCCTTGGTGGAATGTGTTTCTGTCAGTCAGCCAACTAGCATTTGTTAAGTACTGACTCTGAGCCCTAATACAAAGCACTAGGGGATACAAAAAAAGGCCAAAAAATCATTATTATTATGGTTTTGCAGGGAGCCATAATTATGACTCAATATTTTATAATAATAATAATAGTATGATTGGGTTATCATATAATGGTTACATATAATTATCATCCACTGGCACCCTCCTGAAACCTCATTGTACATGGAACTATAAGTATTCACTAGTCTAGTAGTCTAGTCAATAAACTGAGAAGCCTTCAGGTATAGGCTTGTTAAAGGAGAGTGTGTCTGCCATCCAAGAAGGACCAACCTCGCTAAGCACAGAGAGGCTTGTCACCCCAAGTGATGAATTTCAGGTGATGAATTACATAAAAGTTCAGAGTAGATAGAGAGTCATCCCAGAGGAAAGGCACTGATGGTAGAAAGTGCTAGAAAAGGCCTCTTACAGAAAGTAGGATTCAGTCTGGGTTGTGGAGAAAGAACATTCTAGCCACTGGGAACAGTCAGTGAAAAATCAGAGTTAAGCAATGGAGTGTTGTGTTCAAGGAACCTCAAGTAGACAGTATAGCTGGATCATAGAATGTTTTGAGGTGAGGGGTAAGGTACATGAAAACTGGAAAGGTACAGAAGGGACTTTATGAATGGCTTTAAGTTTCAAACAGAGGCTATCCGAAGCTAGTTAAGCTAGTCCTAGAGATGTCACATGGGCAGCTAGGTGGCATAATGGATAGGGTCAGGAAGACTTGACTTCCGTTCATGAATTCAAATCTGGTCTCAGATACTTATTAGCTATGTGACCCTGAAAAAGTCACTTAACCTTGTTTGCCTCAGTTTCCTCATCTGTAAAATGAGCTGGAGAATGAAATGGCAAACCATTCCAGTGTCTTTGCCAAGAAAGTCCCAAATGAGGTCATGAAGAGTTTGGACACGACTGAACAACGATGAGATGTCAGAGAAGCAGATCATTTTCGGCCTGTACTCTAAGGCATTTTAGTTAGTTTGCTAAGAACTGCCAGAACCTGTCCTCTGCTAGCCTAGCATTCATAACTTTGAGTTACCTCCATGCCAGCATCAGTGATGGGACTGACCAGAAGAAGATTATCAACAGCTGGCTTTTCTATAGTGTTTTACTTCTGTGATCTCATCTGATCCTTACAACTACCTTGGGAGGTAAGTAAGCAGGTGAAGGTTTTTAATCCAAATTACACAGATTAGGACACTGAAGTTACTTGTCCTGTCACACAGCCAGGAAGTGGCAGAACTGGGCCTGGAATCTAGGTCTTCAGACTTTTAAGTCCAGTGTAGTCTAATATACATTTATGTATATGTGTTTATATATATATCTCCACGTGTACATACACACATATAAAGTATACACACATTTGTTGACAGGTACATCTAAGAAAATTAGAAATAGAAATCAAGTTATTATCATCATCACTGAGTTCTAAACTAGAACAACTTGGAGCCCTTTAAAATTGGTTTTGAGATCATAAATAAGGCTCCTCCCACTCCTTACCACTCCTCTCCATCCTAAAATCTCACGTACATTCATGCCTTTGACTGGTTTAACTAATGGCTCCTCCCCCTTTGCTGGAAATACATACTATGCTGCCATGGACTTCTTTCCCTCAGTTGTTATCCTGCCTGGTTTCTTCTCATGTACCCTAGAGTAACAACTAAAATAAGAACCATTCTTATAATGCTTTAAGTTTTGCAAAAACCTGCTTTACAAGACCCCTATGTGGTGGGTAATACAAGATTTTTTCCCAATTTACAGATTAAAAAAAGTGAGGCTTAGAGAGGAGATGCGACTTGCCCACAGTCACATGGCCAGTAAGTGTCTGAGCAGGGCAGTGAAGCCCAGGCCTCTTGAACTGCCAGGTTAGCACTTTATTATACCACATTACTTCTCTGTTCTCAGAATGTATTCTCAGGATAAAGTGTGATTGAATTAGGTTCAACAACTTTTCAGATGGGTTTGAAGTCTTCTAGAAGATTATCTGGGGTTTCCTCTTGTTCATTTGAAAGAGAATATGATTTCTTCTAAGTTAGGTTTCCTTTGTGCCAGGCAGCACATGGAAATGTTCCTATGTTCACCTCCAGTCAATAGCAAGAGTGAGCTCTCCCCTTCCTACTTCCCAGAAAAGCCATTAACATCTCACTGAGATAGGAGCAGAGCTAGTTCAGACCCCAAAACTTTCCTGATGATCTTCCTATAAAAGATAGAGGCCAGAAGACTCAGGCCCTTCAGGAAGTTGTCTTGGATCTCATGAAGTCAGTGGACCTTGTTGGCCCTAATGCTGTATCACACAGACAGAATTGAGTTTCAAATGCCTTTCATCTTAGATGAAGAGCATTGGCCATTAATAATAAAGGTAGCGATTCATTAAATAATGATTATAATAGCCCTTATTTCTATTATGCTTTCCTTACAATAATCCTGTGAAGTAGGTGAAACAAGTATTATCATGTCCATTTTACAAATTAAGGAACTGAAAGCCAGAGGGGCAATATTGGTATAGTGGAAAAAGCACTAGACTTAGTAGATAGAAAATCCTCCCTGGGACACCCCCAATTCATCTCTAGAATGAGGAGGTTGGAGTAAATGATCTCTCTGTTAGATCTCTTCCCACTCAAGATTCCAGGATTCTTTAACTATGAGAAGCAATTTGCCCATAGTTAGTCACACAGAGAGAAGTGGGGCTTAATCTGTCCCCTCCCTCTCTGGTCTTCTGACTCCCAGGCCTTTGCTTTTTTCCAGGACACAACGTTCATTACTCAATTTGCATTTTTAGACTGTGGGCAAGTTGCATCTCCTCTCTAAGCCTCACATTTTGCTCATCCATTTTCAGGCAAGGACATGTTTAGCTCTGAGATCGGTCTCTATACCATGCTAATTTATTTATTTTTTAAAAATAAAACAGTGGTCAATAGCAGGCTCTCTCCTCCCTGTCTTTCTCTTTGGGAAGCAGGAGACTCAGAGGAAGGAGAATGAGTTCCAGGCTTCTTTAGAACCATGGCCTGAGCAAGGGGGGAGTCTACATGTACATGTGAGGGGGGAGGGACAGCTGGGGCAGCCTGTCTCCTTAACCTCCTCCTCAATGTGTCTTTGAGGCTTTCTCTGAGCACTTGGAGGCAAATGCACGGGTCTAGTGGCCACAGACTCCATTCATTCTTACTAATGGCTCCCCCATTCTGTCCTTCAGCTTCAAAATGTAGGAGTTGCTGTGTCTGAGGAATGGTGGCTCTTTACCCAGGCTGTCATTTTGAAGGGAAGGATCAGGGAATGGGAGGGAAAAAAGGCAGTCTATAACACTTTCATGTCAATCAATCAATAAATTCAGTACTAGGGACAGCTAAATGGTGCAGTGGATAGAGCACTGAGCCTGAAGTAAGGAAGAACTGAGCTCAAATCTAGCTTCAGACATTTATTAGCCTGGGCCTATTTGCTTCAGTTTCCTCATCTGTAAAATGGGGATAATAATAGCACCTACCTCCCAGGGTTGTTATGAGGACCAGAAGAGAAAATTAATTGTAAAGCATTTAGCACAGTGACTGCCATATAATAAGCACTATATAAATGCTAGCTATTATCATCATTATTATTTTTAATAAGAATACAAACAGTTGCATCTACTGTATTTGCCAGGTTTGTGGGGATAAAATGAGATATTTGTAAAGTCCTTTGGAAACTTCAAAGTGTTTTTAAAATGCCAGCTATTATTACTATGATTATGCATGCACATATTCACATACATATATGTACTCCACCATAAACACACTTTCTTTTTTTTTTTTTTTGGTGAGGCAATTGGGGTTAAGTGACTTGCCCAGGGTCACACAGCTAGTGAGTGTTATGTGTCTGAGGCTGAATCTGAACTCAGGTCCTCCTGACTCCAGGGCCAGCGCTCTATCCACTACACCATCTAGCTGTCCCCATAAGTACACTTTCACACTCACTTTCATTGGTGCATGCACATACATACATATCTCAGTTTTACATACACTCAAATAGAGGTAGGCACACTCACTTTCACTCAAACACACATGAACACATATGTAGATACTTAGATTCTCACACTTTTACACTCCCACAAGGACTCTGACATTAACTCATACACATACGCATTTGCATAAATGTAGATACAGAGTCAGTGAGGTCCTATGGAATGAGGGAACAAAAAAGCCCTTATTAAGTGTTTATTATGTGCCAGGCACTGTACTAAGCACTGAGGAAGCAAATGCTAAAAAGAGAGTCTCAGCCCTTACTTTCAAATAAGAAAGATTCCTATGCCCTCCCCCTCACCCTACTAAGACATCAGGTGGTGGCAGTCCATGATACAAGTAGGCAGATCATCCCAGCATCCACACACATAATTCCTGCTCTCCTTGAACCCAAGGTGACCCCCTGGCATGGAGCACTAAGTGCAGGTGTATTAGGCTTCTGCCACTGAGCCATAGTGAGGAGAAGGAGGGCCTGCGGGATGGCAAGAGCACTGGAGGAACAGATGAGATTGCCTGTCTGACAGGTTCACCCCCCCCCTGACTCTCCTCCCCTACTCGGATAGGAAAAGAGACTCTGGCAGGGTTTCAAATTTTATGGATTTGGCCTAGTTAGCATCTTGAATGCATTCCATGTTTCAGCTGTAGTACTTTCTTGCTTTTTTTTTTCTTATGTATAACAAGAAACAGACAGCTGAGTTTTCTTTTCTATAAAATAAGAGGGTTAGACTAGATAATTTCCAAGTTCTAGTTCTAATACTCTTTGTTCTATGTAACAATATTTTGTATTCTAGGCTCATTCCTACCTAACTCTAACAATAATGTCCTAAGTTCATTCCTGGCTCTGTATATGTTCTAAGTTCATTCATTGCTCTAACATTCTATGTTCTAAGCTAATTCCTAACTCTAATAGTCTATGTTCTAAGCTCATTCCTAACTCTAACAATCTATGTCCCAGACTGATTCCTAGCTCTAACAACATTCTAAGATCATTTCTAACTCTAACAGTCTATGTTCTAAGCTCATTCTTAGCTCTCTCTGTTCTCAGCTCATTCCTAGCTTTTATAGCCTATGTTCTAAGTTCATTCCTAGCTCTAACAGTCTATGTTCTAAGCGCATTCCTAGCTCTAACAGTCTATGTTCTAAGATCCTTCCCTAATATAATGGACTGCGACTCTGTCTAGAATTTGGAATTCTGCCTCTGACAAAGCTAGCAGCAGGCATATTGTTGACCAGGGATCCTGGTCAATGCTCAGTGTACCTATCCTGGCCCAGCCATGCCAGTTGCTTCCAAATGATAAACATCTCTTTCCCCCCCAGTGTGAATTCAAAGCAAAAAACATTAAGAAAAAGAAAGTCAGCATCGTGGTGTCTGTTGATGGTGTGAAGGTCATTCTCAGGAAGATGCAGAAGGTAAGTATCTCTTACCATCCCTTTTTTCCAAGGAGAGGCCCCCTTCTTGGAGCAGGACCTTTCATAGAAAGAGTGACCATGACCACACCACTTCCTTCCCACCCTCTAGTGCTAAGGTGGACTTAATAACAGCCTCCCAGATGTATCAGGCCACAGGGCAGGGAAAAGCTTTGACATCAGGAGCTCCTTAAAGTGAGACTGAAGGGGAAAGAAAGGAGGGAGTAGGGCTGACACCAATGAGTAGTGGTAAGAAAGGACATTGAATTTAGAGTGAAAGAACACGAGTTTGAATCTTGGCTTTTCCATTTACAACCTTCATTTATGATCTTAGGCAAGTCACAACCTCTGCAGCTTCAGGTAGATTAGATAAGTAATCTCTCATTTCTTTTCCTGCCCCAAACCTTATATGTTTGGCCCTTAGCACAAGGCTGCAGGCATATTCAGGGGTTGGCTTGTGTTCTGTCTCTCCATTGCATCTGGACTTTTCCCTTTCTCAGGCTCCATTCCAGTCCACCCTTATCTCCTCCTGCCTGGACTACTACATCAGCTTCCAGTCTCTCTCTCTCCTGGGTCTTTTCTGCTCATATTGCCAGAGTCATCTACTCACAGTATAGCTCTGATCACATTCTTCCTCTGCTCAAATGCCACTGTAGTTTAGCAGAAGAAGTGCTATATCTGTAATAAGAAGACCTAGGTTTGAATTCTGATTATATCATTTACCATTTGTATAACCATGAACAAGTCATTTTTTCTCTCTCTGGGTCTCAGTTTCCTCATCTGTAAAATGAAGGGATTGAATTAGACAATCCCTAAAGTCTATTATTTTAAATCCTATAAGCCTATGAACTCCTCCATCCTCTGAATCCTCTTCATCCCTCAAGGCTCAGCACAGGTGCTACCTCCACCTTCAGGAACCTTTCCTGCCCTCTTTCCTCCAAATTCCCATAACAATAGTTCTGCCCCACTCAGTCTGAATCTGTCATTAAATGATCATAGAATTTAAAGCTAGAAGGGACCTTAGAGATCATCTCAACTAATGCCCTCAATCAATGCTTCACCCAACCCAGGGGTTTGCATTCAGAGCCTCTGACTTTAAAACCAGTGGTCTTTCTACTACACTATGCTGTTTCATGTGCTCATCATTTCATATGTATGAAGGCTATTTCCACCAATAAACTGGAAACTATCTGAGGACAGGGACCCATTTTCTCCCTCTATCTTCTTGATGCCCTTATCTAATCAGCACTGTGCTAAAAAGCCTTGTATTGTTTGTTTTGTTTCTTGGGTTTTTTGGTTTTGCTTTTTTTGGGGGGGGGTTGTGTGTTTTTTTCTTTTTTGTTTTTCTTTTTTTTGTTTGTTTGTTTTGTTTTACTTCTCTGCAGAGGAAGGAGTGGGCCTGGGAAGAAAGCAGAACACTGGTGATGCATGACCCTGTTTACAGGTAGGGATTGTCACACTCATTACCTCCCTTATCCCAGTAAAAATGACTGGTGCGCATGGTCATTCCATATATCTGAGCAGGAATATCACCACCCTCACCCCAGATGTTATTGTTATTTTTATTATCTTTTTTTTAAGAGAGGCAATTGGGGTTAAGTGACTTGCCCAGAGTCACACAGCTAGGAAATATTATGTGTCTGAGGTCGGATTTGAATTCAGGTCCTCCTGACTCCAAGGCCGGTGTTCTATCCACTGCTCCACCTAGCTACCCCAACTCACCACTGTTGTTCTCTCAGTTGGATATATTGACATGGGACATTTCCTCCTAGAATCTTCTATGTGTCCCATGATTCTCAAGACCTGAAGATATTCAGCTACATTGCCAGGGATGGGAACAACAACTCCTTCCGGTGCAACGTATTTAAGTCTAAGAAGAAGGTAAAGGATTGCAACATCCATGGCCAACACATCCTTTGTCCCACACCTGAACCCCACCTCTATAACCTGTACTAGTAGTCATACCACAAGGACTGAACCAGGGGGAACCTGCAGCCTCGAGGCCACATGTGGCCTTCTAGGTCCTTGGGTGCAGCCTTTTGACTGAGTCCAAGTTTTACAGAACAAATCCTTTTATTAAGGGGATTTGTTCTGTGAAGTTTGGATTCAGTCAGAGGGCCAACCTTGAGGACTTAGAGGGCTCCACGTGGCCTCGAGGCTGCACAGAAAGTCCAGAATGGGTGGTGTGGTGTGCACCTTCTCCCAACACATCCAAAGTATGATCCCATGGGCACCAGGCTAACTTGTATAAACACTGTTAAGGGATCAGGCCATAGTGGGATTAGGGGCTGGGCTGAGTCCTACATGGTGGGTATCAATGTATCCTTTTATCCATCTACATGTGGGCAGAGCCAGGCCATTCGAGCAGTGAGGACAGTGGGCCAGGCCTTTGAAGTTTGCCACAAGCTAAGCCTACAACACCCTCTACCCAGTGCTGATACAGCCAACCGCCAGCCCACAGAGAAGAGGCCTCAAGCAGGTACTCCATCTTCACCTTTCTTTCAACCTCTTCCACCTAAAATATACTTACTTTGCTCAGGATGTCCCCAGGATAGCCATCAGGTCAAGGCAAGGGAGGGTCCTAGATAATATGCTATGATACAAGGAGTGTTAATCTTGGAGTCAGATGATCTGATTTGGACTCCTGGTTCTGACCCTTGCTTCATCCTGAGCAAGTCACTTACTTCTCTGTGCCTCAGTTTCCTCCTTTATAAAATGGTAATAATAATACTTGTACTAATTACCTCACAAGACTGTTGTGAGGAAACTGTTTCATAGAGTGACATGGAACTTATAATTACTGTAGTTTATTATTCTTGGAATTCATTCTCTAGAGTGACCCTGTGATTAGAGCTAGGGTACTAGAAAGAACTCGTGTATGTCTAACTCATGCTTGAGGGGATTTGCTGGATGAACTACATTCACTTCAGGTCCTCTGCCCTTCCCCACCCACCAACCACCAAGACATGGGTGGGTAAGCTCAAAGGGTGAACCAGGAAAGACCCTGGAAGAAGTGGAGCCATTGCCTAGCTAACCTATGGACAGCATCAAGACTATAGTAACTCCTAGGCAGAACCAGACCAGTTCTTCCTCATGCAAAAGACCCCTCTCTTCTACTTTGCTACAGCATATCACCTAGAAGGAAGGAAACTAAGAGAGGAGGACGGGGCCGACGGGGACTCTGATAGAGCTGTTCGGAGGGAGCAGACCAGCCATGTAAAACTGGAAAAGGAAAGACCCAGAGAGGTAAAAGATCTAACATCAGGACAGGAAACTTCTAATGTGGGCAGAGACCAGACAGGGGCAGGCAGGGAATACTGGGGAAAGAGGAACTACTGATTTGATTGGGAAGACGGGCCCTCAGAGAGGCCCTTTGTCTGAAAGAAAGACCTGCTGGAGGGTAGGGGACCCACAATGCCACGTCACACAAGGATCCAATGAAGGAATTAGGGATGTTTGGGCCACAGAAAAGAAGACTTAGGATGGACATTATAGCTGCCTTTGGATATTTAAAAGAACTGTCATGTGACAGAGGGGTGAGACTTGTGCTGCTTAGCCGTAGAAAGCAGAATCAGGCCCAATGGGAGGAATTTTCAGTAAAACAGACTTTGGTTCAATATGAAGAATAGCTTCCTACCAGAGCTATCTGACAGTAGAACGAGCTGCCTAGAAAACTAGTGAGTTGTCTGTCACTGAAGGCATTCATGTAGAGACTGGGTGACCACCATGAGGAATACAAAATGAGGTTGGAATAGATGACATCTAAGGCCCCTTTTCACTCTAAGCTATTATTCTCTAGCCCAAAGTGAAAAAAAAAAAGGATTTGGATTTTGGGTTCTTTTAGGTTTATTTGTTGTTTGCAGTTTTTCATGCCAATGTGCCCCTCCATAAACCCAATGGGTAAATGAAAGTTGATGTGTCTCAGTATTACAAGCCCAGCTCCCAGACCAGGCTATCCCTACCAAAATGAGGTGTCCCTGAAAGTCCAGGGCTTCTAGAAGCCAGATGCATCACAGCAGGAAAGTATGAGCCAGAGTCAGATTTCAGGTCCTACCTACGCCAAAGCACACAGACTTGTAAAGATGCCAGTGTGTATATGACTGGGTATGTTTACCACTCTGCTTCACTATTTCTGTCTCTTTCTACCAAATCCAGCCCTTCTTGAGGTGTGGCTGAGCCAGGGCCCCACAAACTACTCATTATGCCTCCTCTTCCTTTCTCTATTCCCAACATTGTCCAAGTTATGCCGCTGTGTCCAGGACATTGGAGCTGGCTCTGCCCACCCTGCAACTGCTCAGCCATGGTCACCCTCTAGAAACCTAGAATCCTCCCCCAAGGCATCAGCCATGCCAGTAACACCGATGTTGACTCCACATTGCACACAGCTCCTCCACCACCAGCTTCTCCAGCAATGGCAGCAGGCTCAAGTAGCCACTGCCCAGGTAATATTCCTCCCCCTCTTCTCCTCCCCTAAGGACGGCTCCCCAGGGGCTGGGTTTTCCTGGGTGGCTTTCAGAGTGACTAAGAGATCATGGACTTTTGCTCTCTCTATGGTCCTCAGCTTAATCCTTTGCCATCATTCTATGTCTGTACTCCTGGAATCATTAATTTCCTTAGATTCTTCTGGTCTCACCATAGACTCACCCTTTCCTTTACTGGAGAAGCAGTGTTGGTATGTTGGAAGAGGCACTGAATGTGGAGACAAGCAGAACTGGATTCAAATCCTGGCTCTCTCATTTATTAGGTGCATGACCTTGGACAAGCCACTATTATCTCTCTGGGGCTCAGAAAAATGAGGGTAATGGTATATGCATTACCTTTACCATCTGTAAAAGAGTAATAGTATTATATGTGACCTTCACAGGTCCGTTATGAGAATAAAATGAGATACTCTCAAGTGCTTTGGGGGATGCTGAATAGCATCATTCCTTTTTTTAAAAAATGTCACTTCAAACAGAATTTGTATTTTTCTTTTTGTAAAAAAAAATTTATTCTAAACTCAGCCATCAACAAAATCAAATATGTATGCATATATGATAAACATAAAAAATTTTAAAATACAGTGTTACATAAAACCATTTTATTTAGACCAGACTCATGATTTCATTGGTGTAGGGAACTGCCTCTGTGGACACCCTTTACCAAGGCAGGTTGGCACTTGGTCTATAATGTATAGTCCTAGAGAGTTGCCTAGAGCAGAAGTGTTGACATGCTGCCTGCCTGGCCCAGGCAGCCCGCAACACTCCCAGTGCAGCAGAAACCAGATTAAAGTGTAATTGGGAAATATGTAACAAAATTAACAAAAATATGATAAAACACAGATAGTGTTACTATGTGGTTCTCCAAGTCAATATGTGGCCCTCGGGGATCCTTATGTATGTTTTAGTGGCCCCCATTTCTATTCGAGTTCACACCACTGGCCTGGAGCCCTGACAGGTTAAGTGATTTGCCCAGGGTCACACAGCTGGTATATAAGTCAGGGGTAGGTCTTCTTGACTTCATAGTCAGCTCTCTATTCACTATGCCATGTTGCTTCTCCTAAAGCACTCAACATTTCACAAAGTAAAGCCAAACGAATGGCCAAAAAATGCACTTGCTCTGTGTCTTTTTCATATGTTTATGAAGCTGTATTGTTGGGGGGGATTTTCTTTGATTTTTAAAAAATATGTCATTGTAGTCAATATGTTTATAGTTCTGGTTCTACTACTCTAACTCTGCAGAATCAATTTACATTTACTAGCTTCAGGACCCCCAGCTTACCTAACTCCCTGAGGCTTCATTTCCTTATTTATAAGTCAAAATAATAACAACATTTGCCTAACAGAGTTGTGGTGAGATAATGCATATAAAATGCTGGCAAACATTAAACCCCTATACAAATGTAAGTTATTTTGGTTGTTATACCCTTTATATTTATCATTTTACAGTACTGTAATCCAGCTTCTTGCTATTTAAAAAATAACCAGATAGATCCTGTTTTCCTTTTTTGCATACTTTTAGGGGAAAGTCTTAGCAATGGTATCACCAGTACAGAGTTTATCATTAGTTTTGTATATTGCCTAATTGTTCTCCAAAAGGCTTGCACTCATCTATAGCTAGTCCAAACAACAATGTAATAGAGTGCCTATTTCCCAGCAGCCCTGATAACATTGGATACTTGTTTTTGCTAATTTAGTAGGTATAAAGTGATATCTTAAGTCTTTCTTGATTTGCATTTCTCTGATTATGACTGGATTGAAGGAGAGGCATGGCATACTGATAGAGTGCTGGACTTGGAATCAGGAAGACCTGGGTTCAAATCCTACCTCTGAAACTTACTGATTTATGACTATGGACAAGTCACTTACCCCCTCTGAGCCTCAGTTTCCTCATTTGTCAAATGAGGGATTTGGATTAGATGAACTTTAGAATGCCTTCTCATTTTACCACAATTCTTACCTTCTTATTACCCAATCCAGACCTTGGTGACAGTTAGGTCCCTGTCTCCAAGTAATTCTCCCTCTTTTTTAATGAGTTCAGTGCTTGGCTCACAGACTTCCTCTCCACCCCACCTTCTCCCCTCAGACATCCCTGCAGATATCCTAAATCCTCAATTCCCCAAGTTGCTCAATTCCCAAGAATTATTCTTCCATTCTACCTCGGCTTCTCACAGGGATGAGTCATGCCTTTGATCATGCCTTTGAAAGTATTCTGCTTTCATGCTCAAGAACTCTGAATTTTTTTTATCTGAGCATAATATTTGTCTTTCTATCCCTTTTATGCCTCATTCTTCCTAAACCTTCTCTTCATCCCCACCCTGACCTCCAATCCCTCCATTCCTCGCTATTGTCCCAAGCCATCAACCCTGCTCTGGCTGCATTCTCCTCCCTTCCCAGTTGGTAAGCCCATTCATTTCTATACTGTTCTTTACTCTTGAATCCCTTGCTCCCTTCTCCTGTTATCAATCACGCCTCATCAAACCCCAATCCTGGATTACTCCCACCCTATACCTTCTTACTGCTGAAGGGAATTGGAAGAAATAACAAAACCTTGCTGATCAGATCAATCAATCAGTAAGTGTTTATTAAGTGCACTTATGGACAGCTCTGATTATCAGAAAGTCTTCATATCAAGCCAAAACCTTCCTGTAACTTGAACCCAATGCTTCTAGTTCATCCCTTTTGAGACAAGCAGAACAAGTATAATCCCAATTCAACATAACAGCCCTTTAGATATTTGAAAACAGCTATCACAAGTCTTCTATAGGCCCCATCATGGAGTTCCATCAATATACCTATATACTCTGTAACTGGACATTTTTGTGCTCCTCGAATTGAATGTCTGACCTCTTTTCTTAAAATACTATTACACTGTAAACTCTATGAGGGCAGAGAGCTTGTCTGATTAAAAGGTCTTGTATCTCCCACACCTAGCACACAGGGCTCTCTACACAATACATACATAGTAAATATTTGTTTCTTATTCATGAAAAAGTTAATGCTAGTAAACTTCCTTTGTAAACCCCACCCAGGAGAGATTGTTGTTTTACCTTCATTCTCGAAGAAAACTAATGACATCAGAAGGGTGATGTCTTGACTTGCAAGTGAACTAGATTTAAGTGAGGCAGGGTTGTACAAAGTCATCAGCCATACTCTCTACTCCAGGGTCAATTGAGTCCAGTGGCAAAATATAGATCAGGACAACTGGAAATGATCCCAGATGCAGTGACAGACCTTGGTCTTTTTATACTAGGGTCTTTCCCAGGTCTTATTTTGGTTGAGACAACACCCGTTCAGTGATTTAAGTAAGGTGAGGTAAGAAATGAGGCAAAAGATGTCCCAGTTTGCCTACTCAAAATAAATAAACAAACAAACAAATAAATAAAACTGGGAGCAGAAGACCCTCAGGGTTTTTGGCCAGAACAGAAACAACTGCTATTTACACTTACTCTGAGCCATCAGAACCCAACAATGACCAAATGAGGCTTGGGCTGGGACCTATTATTGTCCAGTTGTGAGAGCCAGAGTAATTTGGGTTTAAGGCATGGTCAAGTGGCTCCATTTGAATCCCAATGGATTTTCAGAGCTCTATTTCAATAAATCAATGAAATCAAGAAAATAAATGAAACTACATGGGACAAAAGAGTTAATTGTCCCCATTTTCTAAAATGATGGAATAAATAAGTAGGGAAGAGAGAAAAAAAATCTAGCCCCCCAAACCCCAAGACATCTTACGAGGTTTTAGCTATCAAAATTTATATTCTTTTTCTTTCTTTTTTTTTTTTAGGCAATTGGGATTAAGTGACTTGCCCAGGGTCACACAGTTAGTAAGTGTCAAGTGTTTGGTCTGAGGCCAGATTTGAACTCAGGTCCTCCTGACTTCAGGGCTGGTGCTCTATCCACTGCACCACCTAGCTACCCCTTAAAATTTATATTCTTTTGGGCAGAACACCCACATTTAAGGGAATGATCCTCATGTAGACAGAGGGAGAGGAGGGAAGGAGGAAAGTAGGAAGGAAGGAAGGAAAGAAGGAAGAAAGGAAGGAAGGAGCATTGCCCAACTGGAATTGGCCAGTTGGGTCCCCAGTGGGGCAGATTATTGTTTGTCTTTTGTTCTTGAAGAGGACCAATGACATAAGGAGGGTGGTGTCTTGACTTGCAAGTGAATTGGATTTAAGTGAGGCAGGGCTTCTACAAAGTCATCAGCCTCACTCTCACTCCAGAGAAAAAGTGGGGTTGTGTAGATGTGTGAGTCATTTCCACAGAGATAACAATTAATCCACAGAAGCTGATATAAGGTCCCCTCTACTTTCTTCCCTCTGCCGGTTTCCCAAATGCTCTATCTGGCTTCCTTCAGTTCAACTGAAACTTCTCTAAGTTACCAGTGATCTTTTAATTGCAAAGAATAATGGCTTTTTCTCAATTCTGATTCTTTTGGGCCTCTTTGCAGCATTTGACACTGCTGACTACCTTCTCTTCCTGAATGTTATCTCATTTCTGGGTTTTCATGGCATTGTCCTCTCTTGGTTCTCTTCCTACCTCTCTAATTACTTCTCCTCAGTCTCTTTTGATGGATTTTCATCCATGGCACAACCACTAACTTTGGGAGCCTGCTAAGGCTCTGTCCTAGTCCCTCTTTCCCTTTATCTCTGTAGTCTCTAATTTGGTGATCTCATTCATGGATTCAGTTAGAAACTCTATGGAGATGATTCCCAGATTTCTGTATCTAGTTTTAGTCTTTCTCCTGAGTTAGTCCTACAGTACCAATTGCTTATTGGACAATTCAAGCTAGAGTTCCTGAAGGCATCTTAGGCTCAACATGTCCAAAAAAGAACTCGTTATCTCTTCCTTCAAATCTACCCCTCTTCTGAACATCCCTGCTCTTCTTGAAGGAACCACCATCTTTCCTATCACCCAGGTTCACAACCTTGGCATCCACCTTGACTCCTTTTTCTCAACCCACATATCCAATCTGTTGCCAAATCTAGTAAAAAAAAATTTTTCTACATCTTTTACATATGCACCCTCCTTTCCCCTCAAAGAACCAGCACCTTGGGTGAAGCATCATCATCTCTGTCCCAGACAATTACAGTAGCCTCCTACTTGGCATCTGGCCTCAAGTCTCTCCTCACTCCAATCCATTCTCCATTCAGATACCTAAAGCATATGTCTGGCCACATCAACTCCTGTTCGATAACTCTATCTACCTTGTCTGTCTTCTTACATTCCACTCCTCTCCATGCAGACTGCAATGGAGCCATACCAGCATACTAATACTCCATCTTCTGCCTATGCCTTAGCACTAGCTGTCTGCCCTCCCTCTTCACCTCTGCTCCATAGAATCCCTGGCTTCCTTTAAGACCCTTCCTGGAGGGAGGCCTTTCCTGGTTCTCCCTGCTGCCACTGTCTTCTTCTCTGAGCTGACTCTCCCTCCACTCTGTGTTTTCTTTTATATCGCCCCCTATTTGAATATGAGCTCCTTGAGATCTGGGACAATTTTTTAATTTTTCTTTTATTCCCTGCATTTAGCATAGTCCTTGGCATGTAGTCAGTGTTTAATAAATGCTTGTGGGTTAATTTGTTGATTAAGCATCTTTTCATGTGTTATCAACATTTTGTGTCTCATCGTTCAGTTGTTTTCTGTTTGTCTTCTTTGACCATTGTTCCACTGGGGAGCATATTACTTTTAGAGAGATGCATTTATTCTTTAGAGAGCCATCATTCAACAAGCATTTATAGATTCTGGAAAGCAGACCTTTATCTGACATATTTACTGCAAATATTCTTTTCCCAATCTGTTTCCTTTTTGTTGTACAAATGGAGTGGGTTTTTCTAAGGATGTTTACTAGCATTCATTTTCTCATTCGACAAATATTTATCATGTATCTACTGTGTAGAAAGTCCTGTGCCAGGTGTGGGGAAGACATAATATTTTTATGAAACATAGTCTCTACCCTCTTGGAGCTTACATTGCAATAGTGTTCTAGGAAAAGAGGCTAACCTACTGATTTTAGTAGAAAAATATCTGCTGAAGAAACCTCATGGGGAAATTTAGTCCAGAGAAGACCTTGGTCGGTAGGGACACATGTGATAGATGTGTTTTCAAAAATCTGAAGGGCAGTCCTAAAAAAGAGGGATTCTGCTTGGGTTGAGGGGAGGGTGGGAATAAGCATTTATTTCACACCTATTATGTGTGAAGGCACTATGCTAAGCACTTTACAAATATCTCATTTATGACAAACAGGAATTAAGTGACTTACTCAGGCTCAAACAGATAGTAAAAGTATGAAGTCAAATTTGAACTCATGTCTTCCTGACTCCAGACTAGCACTTTATCCACTGTGCCAACCTGTTTGAGAGGGAAGAACTAGGGACAATGGGTTCAAATTACAGAGAAGCAGATTTGGTTTGATGTGAAGACTGCCTTCCTCACAGTAAGAGCTTTTCATAAATGGAATGGACAGCCCAAGAAATAGTGAGCTCCATGTCACTGCAAGTGTTAAGTAGAAAGTGAATGAGCAGTTGCTGGCAATGTTGGAGAAGGGATCTGGTGCTCAAGGTCGGTTTGGATTAGAATAACCTCTGTGGTTCCTTCTGATTTGGGATCCTGATTCTGTGATTCCTTCACAATGAGAATTAGGTGGTAGAGGTGGAGGTTGAGAATGGCCACAAATGGGGTGATGATGGGAATTCTCCAGGTACAGCTTCTCACAGACCAACTGGCTGCAGAGACAGCTGCCAGAGTGGAGGCCCAGGCCAGGATCCATCAGTTACTGCTGACCAATCGGGACTTGCTCCAGCACATGGCACTGCTGGGTCGGCAGCTGAGAGAGCTAGAGGAAAGAGCTTGGGGCCGGCCTAATGGTAAGGAATGCTCAGGGCAGGACAGGGAGCTGGTGGTGAGGGGAGGTGGCTCAAGACAGAGCAGGGGGCTGGGGCTGGCCTGCTGGTTTGGGATTGGGGGAGGCTGGGAGTTTCACGTGGCCCAGGTGAAGAAAGAGGAGATGATGTTGACCTAATAATGAAGGGTTCCAGGATGGCAGAGGGGCATCCTGGGCTCATAGTACAGTGTGTGTGTGTGTGTGTAAAATTACCACTAGTTTTTTACATCATACTAAATTATGCCAAGATTTTGAACTGGTTACACTGAGATTTTCGTTTGCTCCTTTTATAGAATATAGGATGTTAGAGCTAGAAAGGACCTAAGAATCCATGTTCTCATAGTATCTCATTGGGCTCCCTTGCTCTAAGTTCAAAAGGAGTAGGCCCTGCAATTATCTCCAGAAGGGAGAGCTAGGGAAGGCAATGGAAGACCCTGACCTATCCTCATTCATGATTTAAAGAACAAAGAATGGAGTATGTTAGAATTAGAAGTGACTTTAGAACAAAAAAAGACCCTGACTTGTCCCTATTGATTAGATAGAACGTTAGTACAAAAAAATGGAGAATGTCAGAATTAGAAGGGACCTTAGAACAAAGAGCTCTGAAACTTGGGTAGGAGGTACAGGAGTTGGGGGCTGCCAGTCTCTGAGGGCCTTCCTGGGAATCTTTAGCAGTAGACTCTTGTCAAAGGAGTTTATGGTTCTCTTTCCCTTCTTCTACCCAAACAGGTGGCCATTCTCTGCAGAGCTTCAGCCTTAGCTTGGACCGGGCCTCCACCCTGGGTCCCAGGGCCCACAGGAGCCAGGACACTGTGGGAAAGGTTAGCCTGACTTTGAGAAGTAGGCATCTGCCTGGGCTCAGCCAGAGAGAGGAAGACTCCAAGGAGACTGAACAGGGAGGGAGTCCCTCCAGTATCACAACCAATAAGGATAGGTCAGTGACCCCACCGCCTCCCTGCCCTTTCTCCTAAAGGTAGACAAAGTGCCCTCTTCCCCACAGCCTTAGAGGGACATAAACACTGGCTAGAGGGCATTGTACCTTCTCTAGAAACTGAGGGCAGTATATTATAATATAAAGAGTGATAAACTAGGAGTCAAGAGACCTAACTTCTTGTCCTGGTTGTGTCCCTAACTCAATCCCCTCTCTAAGCCTTAGTTTTTCCTTCTGTAAAAATGGGGCAATCAAATCTAGACTATCCCTTTCACAAATATACTTTGAGGATCTAACGAAATAAAATATGAAAAGACTTTTTGAGGCACTTCAAAACACCAAATAATGTATAAGATTATTATGATTAATAAAATCATAAGATTTAGAACTAGAAAGGACCTTTGAGTGGGTGTAGCCCAACCCCTCATCACAGAGACAGTAAGTTTGCAGAACTGGGATTCAGACCAAAGTCCTCCAGAGCTAGTGCCCTTTATACAACACTCCTATACTTCTCCATGATGGCCCTGGACTCAGGGCCCTCCCATAGCCAGAAGTGGAATCAGAGCCCTGAAGAGAGAGTGCCTCCAGGTTCTGCTTTGAGGCAAAATGAACTGGAATCAATGGGGAGCAAGCCCTCCTCTGAATTCCTTTAGCTAATCCCAGCCCTATGCCAGCTCACAGGAAGGACAAGGCAACAAGGAAAACGTTAGATCATCCCTCTGTCTCCAGACAGGCCGTCCCCCAAGTGATTTATGAAGCCCTTTCCTCATAACAACCCTGATGTGATTAGTCCTATTTTTTAGATGAAGAGCCAGATTCAGAAAGTTAGAAAGTATAAAGAATGCAGGAATAATCCTGACTCCAGGCCCTGTGTTCTTTCCACTCTCCAACTCTTCTTCCCCTTCCCAATCTCCTGTATTATTCTCCAGGCTGCTGACATCACCATCCATTCCGAAGCTTCACCCTCCACCCCCCACACTCAAGAAGAGGTTGACCAAGACTTCCCTCAGTCTGGACTCAGAGCCTGACCCGGGACAACCATCCTCCTTTGGAACTCCAGACTCAGTGAGCAATGACACCTTGGAGGAGGCCAAAGCTGGGGCCACTCAGTTGCACCTCTCACCCACAATCTTCCCATCTGGGGTCAATGACACGATCTTGCACATCAGCTTCTCTGATGAGGATGAGGAGGATCCAGCCATTGAGGCTCACGTTCCTGCATAAACCCACCCCCTGGCTCTCTCCTCCCTCCCTTTCTTTCCCTTCTTCTGGATCCTACAGGGCAAAGCCCTCCAGGTTCACCTGGAGCTACCTACAGTGTACCTAAATGAGCATAGAGCAGAAATAGCCTACTATAGTGTTAAGAGCACTGCACTTGGAGTCAGATAACCTGGGTTCAAATCTTGGTTCTGTTCCTTAGCCATCTGTGTGATCCAAGACAAGTCACTAAACTTCTCTGGACCTCAATAACATCATCTGTGATTTGATGAGGTTAGACCAGATTATCTCTAAGATCCCTCCCAGCTCTTGATCCTCTGACTATTCCTTCTGAAGCATCATGGTGTAATGACAAGAGCATTGTCATGATCTTGCAGTCACAAGATCTGGATTTAAACCCCACCTCTGAAACTTAGCTGTGTGAACCTAGGCAAGTCATTTCACCTTTCTGAGCTTCAGTTTCCTCCTCTGTAAAATGGGGAAAGAAATCCTTGCACTACCTACCTCATGGGCTTACTATGAAGAAAGCACTTTGTAAATCCCAAAGTGCTCTAGAAATGTGAGCTGTTTTTTGGGGGACTGTCTCAATCCTGAGTTGCTCTATATGTTTCTTTGTTTGTTTTAATGGGTTAACCATATCCCTAACCAGCTGAACAATTAGAAATAAGATGTATCAACTTCCTGCTGGCTCCCCCAGACCCTTTGCTAAGATTTCTTCTAGCTAATTCTCCTTTCTAGGCATCAGTTCCCTCATCTATAAAATGAGAATATTGGAGTAGGTGATCTCTAAAGTCCATTCCAGCTCTAAATCCTATGATCCTATGGTCTTTGCTCCCATTTTCTTCTCAGGCCTGGAATGATTTTCCCCCTTCCTCCATTGTCCTTTGGTGAAGTCCTTCCCATCCTTCAAAGCTCAACTTAGCTACTCCTTCCTGTATGGGGCCATCCTTGAACATCTCCATTCCCTTTCTCTCCCCAGATGAAAGAGATCTCTCTCTATATAAATTTCTATGGTACTTTGAGGAAAGCTCTGCTCTACTATTATACTTTAACTTGTGTTATATTTATGTGTGTCCATGACATTCCCTTTCCTCCACCTTACAACTATGGGCTCTAAGAGGTCAGGAACTATTCTTATTTTCTATCTTTGTTTTTCACATTGAGGCAGATAGTAAGTCATAGCCTTCATGCTAGGAGCGACCTCAGAGGTCATCAAATCTAACCCCTTCATTTTACAGATAAGAAAACTGAAGCCCAGAAAGGATAAGTGATTTGTCTGGTATCATACAACTAATAAGCATCAAAGACAGGCTCTCTTTGAACCCAGGTCTTCCAGACCCCAAGTCCAACACTATCCACTACACGACACTGCCTCATGTTGTATAGTAAAGTCTAAGGTGGATAGAAATATAAAGTTCTATCCTCCTGGAGGTGTCATACCCCAGTTCTCATTTTGCGACTCCTGGCTGGGCCTCCATCATGATCAAATGACAACCTGTGTCAAGCACTTTGCAAACCTTAAAGTGCTACATAAATCTGAGCCCTTATTATTGCAGAGCCCTAAGAAGGTCCTTTCCTTACTCCCTGGGGTCTGATAAGCCTCTGTCCTCTGTAGAAGTAGAAAACCCTTTCAGATGCATCACTCCATTACTTCTGGATGTCCTCCATGGGAAAGAATTGAATAAGACCTTCTGGAGAGCTAGGAATAGTGGAAAGAGAACAGAAAGACCCTGAACACTTGAAATTGGGCTTGGAGTGTAGAAGAGGGATGACACTGTAGACAAATGTCATTATGTCACATTTTGGCCACAAGCCAAGGATGCAATCTATATATGATATAGAATCCCCATGTCTATAACCATCTCCAGTTTTTAAAGCACTTTCCTTACAATCTGTGAGGGAAGGAATGCCAGTGTCATTGTTGGTATTTTACAGATGAGGAAACTGAGGCCAGATAAAGGAATGTGAGTTGCTCAAGCTTACACAACTAAAAAGTTCCAGAGCTGGGCTTCAGTCCAGGTCTTCTAACTCTCTAGCTCTTTCCACTACCTGCCACTGCCCCTTAATCCTGGGGCCTCCCCACCCCAACTCCTAGGCAACAAGACTCTCCAGCTTGGACACTTGGGGTTTGGGTTGCACCCTCCTGGAGGTCCTATAACATACCCTTCCTCTGGGATGGTCAATCCTCAAGTAGAGATGGTCAGTATCCAAATAAGTCAGGGCCCAGCAATGACTCTGGGGGTATAAATCCCTTTACCCACCCTGTGGAGTCTGTCCCAGTGTCCCACATACTAACCCTAAGAATGTGAGAGATTCCTCCTTTCCCTCACTCCCAGGTCAGCATCCTATAATTCCTCTGAAAGAGATGTAAACAGCAAGAATGGGGAATGAGCATGGCAGAGTTAGAATGTGTGATCTTTTTAAGGGAAAAGGTTACTAATTGATGGTATTGGAGGAATGGATTTGGAAGTGGGGAGAAGTGAATATCCTGACTCTGCCTTCTAGCTCAGTGAGCGGGACTTGGGCAGAGGAGCAAGCCTCCCATAGAAAGGGTGGCCAAGCATGTAAAAGAGAGATCCAGGTTTCTGTTGATGCAAGGAGATGAAGGATGGAAGGATGAGAGGAAAATGTTGAAGTTAAAGGGAAATTTATATTTCCAAAGTGGTTTTAAGGGACCAAGTAGAAAGGGATGGGAGAGTAATCAGCAAAGCAGGAAGGCCACATCTAGCCTTCCTACCTATCTAGGAATAGAAAAGAAATAGGGGGAGGGCAAAGGCATGTTCATGATGCTTTCCTCCATGAGAATTCAGAGAACTTTTGACTTCTTAATTCCTTCGCCTGTTGCACAGGCGAGAAGTTGAATCCTAGGTTCTAATGGTGGCTCTGTCACTTCCTGGCCCTGTTACTCTAGATAAGTCACTTGACCCTTCCAAGCCTCATATTTGTGTAATTAACAATCGCTCACATCTGTATATTGTATTGCAGTGGAAAGAGCACAAGACTTGAAGTCAGAAGATGTGGGTTCAAATTCTGGCAGTCACTAGCTGTGTGACCTTGGTAAACCCTGAGCCTTAGTAAATTGGGGATAGTAATACCCTTTCTGAGGGCAGGAACTCTTGTTTTTTCTTTGCACCCCAGTGCTTAGCACAGGGCCTAGTACTTAGTAAGCATTTAATAAATGCTCATGGATTGATTGAAAGTGTTCATAACCCTTAATACAGAAGAGCAGGAGTTCTTCATCAGGGATCTGTGAATTTTTTTAAAAATATTTTGATAACTGTATTTCAGCATGTGACTTCCTTAGTAATCTTATGTATTTTATTTTATTTATTTAAAAACATTATTCTGAAAAGGGATCCATAGGTTTCACCAGACTGCCAAAGGTATCCAAGATGCAAAAAATGTGAAGAACCACTGCCATGAGAGTAATGAATTATTATATGGCGCTTTATTCTCACAAAGTGCTCTTATACACAATATCTCATATGTTCCTAATAACAGCCCAAGGAGAGAAACAGGACAGGAACTTTTGTTATACCCATTTTATGGATATGGAGATGAGATCAGAGAAGTGCCTTCTTGCTCAAGGTCACACAACAGATCAATGGCAGTCAGAACTAGAACCCAGGTCTTCTGACTTTCGGTGCAGGATATGTTGCTGTATGATTCAGAAGTCTGGAGGTGAAAGGAGTGATGTGAACCAGAATCAAGGTTCTAGTGATTTGGTGTATGCTATGGGCTGGTTGGTCCAACCCAGTAAGCCCAAATGGCCTGGTCTCATACTACCATCTTGTGGCCATGTGAGGGATTGCCATAACAATAATGCTCATGTTTCCCAATCTAGAGTTTGTGGAGAGTGGCTCCCAGAATGGAGAAGATTTGTGCCCTCTGTTCAACAAAATTTATTAAGACAACGACAGTGTATAGAGAGCTGTGCAGGCTCTAAGGAAAATATAGGGTTTAGATAAAATGAAACCCTGCCCCTCGTAAAATGTAGTCTAATAGGAAGGGAAAAATATATCTATATACAGATATCCTCTAAACACAATTACAGTTAATTGCATTAGAGAGGTATAAAACAAAGTACTATGAGTATACAAGTTAATGTGATTAAAATAACACCAAATAAGCAATTTTAATTGTCTCTAGAAGACCCTTATGCTAATACTCAAGTGTGGCCAGGCTTCTATAGCCTGTCTCTCCATTAGTAGATAAGTATAATTAGTTCATCCCTTGAATTAGTTCATCATATTATGAGTATAATTAGTTCACCATACCATCAAGATAATGGTAATAAGCATTTATTAAGTACCTGTTATTTACAAAGCACTATTAAGCCCAGGAAAAACAAAGATGAAAATTAAACTGCCCCTGCCCTCAAGAGGCTTATATTCCACTAAGAAAGATGATACATAAAAAAATAGATGTTACTACAAAATAATTTGAGGGGGGAAAACACTGTAATCATAGAGATCTAGAATTCCTGAAAGGAGGTGGTACCTAAGGTGAACCTTGTGGAAAACTGAGGATTCTATGAAGCAGAGTTGGGGAGGGAGGCCTATGGAGGCATCTGGCACAGCCAATACAAAGGTCCAGAGATTGGAATGCTGAGTTTGGGAAAGAGCATGTAGAGGCCAGCTGAGGTGGAACTGAGTGCATACAATGGGAGGAATGTGAAATGTGTCCATAAAGTAGTCTAGAGCCAGAACAGGGAAGGCTTTAAGTTGGAAGCTGAGAAGTTTGCATTTTATCCTCTAGACAATGGGGAACTATAGGAGGTTTTTCCGTAGGGGAATAACATGGACAGACTTGTGCTTTAGGAAGATGATTTTGGTACCTCCTGAGGAGGAGGAACCTGAGAGAGGAGAGACTGTGGAAGAAGGGAGACCAGTTGTACTATTGTTAATAGTTGAGGCAAGCAAGAGGGATGAGGGCCTGAAGTAGGGTGGGGGCTGTGGAGGTGGAGGGGAGGGGATAGAGAACAAACCTGTTGGGGAGGTAGAAGGGAGAACCTGGCCTGGAGGGAGGATGAGTGAGGGGCAAGACATTTTTTCC